AACATTGTCCTTTCCTATAGCAAGCTGAGACATGAAGTGAAGAATGTGCGAGGAGGCTTGTGACCAAAACACATGCTGTTGTTTCTCATTTGAGGAGTGATTGATGTACACAGAAAAAAAGTAAACAGTTTTGCCTATTGACGGCCCGGTGGAGAAAAGAATGGCTGGAATGAAACCATGGAAGAGGAGGAGGGGAAAAGTGAAGTAAAATTGAGAAATATTTCTTTGCAGGCACTCACATAACACTTCAAAAATCCGTGTAAGAGTACCTTGTACTGCCCTTAGTCCCGCTGAAGGCAATGTAGAATGAATTATTATTCCATGAAAGCAGATACAGTCTAAGTCTTATTCAGATGAAGGAAAACAGTGCTTGCTGGGACAACCTTTGGTAATCACAGAACTGTAGAAAACTTGAAAGACTTTGACTTTCAAAGTCTTTTAGGGCTTTCCATTCCCCTGCCCTAAGGGAGAAGCAACCATATCCATGTAAATCCTGTCAAAGAGTTTTCTTGCCATCCTTAAGCTCCCTCAAGGTGGTTCCACGGCCTCCCCAGATAATTTACTGTCCTCCAAGCCAAGTCTCTTCAGCAGGAGACTGGAGCAGCTATGTCCCAGGAGGAAGGAAGAGCAGCTGGAAGGCAGACAGGGTCAGGAAGCCCTGGTGAGCTAAAGGTGGGCAGCTCTTCTTGCCCTCATGGTCAGGCCAGGCCTTGCAGCACATGACTGCAAGAGAAGCTGCTCATAAAATGGCCCCACTGCCTTAAAAGGACCATTATTTTTAAGAAAAATACTAAAACACTACACATCCGCCTGTATCTTCATTGTGATAAAACAAGGGAGAAAATCTATGTGGCAGCAGGGCAAAGCATGTGATGGTTTTGGGCAGCAGGTGAGCTGGTACATTTTTGTTTTGTACATGGTGCAAAAGGCAAGGCTGCACATGAAGCCTTTTCAGAAACACAGGAGATCTCTGGAAGGCATTTGATATGTATCATGTTCCTTTTAAAGGGTGCTTTGGTCACTTTAGGAAGATCTGGCCTATTAAATAAAGCATGTACTGAGGGGAAGAAAAGATCCTTGATGAAAGGTTAGCCTGAAAGAGGAAGTAAATATCAACATGGGAGAGCTGGAGTGAAAGGAAAATTGAGAGCGGTGTGTGACTTTCTCTGTGCCTTCTCATGCAGGAAAGCCCCTCTGCTTTCTTTTTGCATACTGTGGCTAACCTGCAACCCATGCTATCTAGACCAGACTGCCAGCTCGTGTATTGCCTCCACATTCATTTAAGGAGTTGCTCTGAAAATCATTATCCTTGCCTTTCACACTGATTGCAAACTTCTACTGACATCCCCTGGTGAGTGACTCCTTCCCAAATGATTGTCTGACCTTGTAATGTTTTCAATCAGCTTCTCTAGCTACACATACCCTGTCATTGACTTGCCACAGATAGATTGATTTTTACTTTCAATGTCATCAAACTAATTCTGGGATTTTAAAACTGGATAGCAAGGTATAAAATCAATGGAAACTGCCATTCACATAAAAGTTGCTCCCTTCAAAAATCCATATCTATGGTGAATCATTATGACTACAATTGACTGCAATTGAATCTAATTAATAGTACCGTTGGATCTGACAGTATCTCATGACACCATCGCTAGAATAGGAAATTCATTGAGTATTAGCTCAGATCACTGTGTAGAATTTTTGCCACAGCTTCCATCCCATCCTCTCATTTTTATTGGAAACACTGCATGTATTCAGGGTGCTAGAGAGGAACTTGAATTTCACTGACATCACAGTACATTTCTTTTTGCACTTCTATATCCTGCTGTAGAAAGGTTTTGCTTATGATGCTGAAAAATTTTATGGAGTACACCAAAACATATTTTATTGCATTTGTCATCTATCTAAATTAATCTCAGGAATATAAACACCATACAAAATATCTCTTTAAAGACATTTCAAATGTGATCTCTTCTCTAAAAATTATTGCAACAGTGGAAATGCCTTTCTGACAAGCTAGATGCTCCTCCAGTCATTACCAGTTTTGCTTTTGCCTAAAAGTGGTATTTGCTCTTTCAGTAACTACATTTTTATACTCAGCTTCCTCCTCTACAGCACTGTCTGAGACTCCATTCCTAAGGTGCTGCTCTTCTCAGGACACAGCCCATGTCTTTGTCAATTTAGTTCTACCATGAAGTTAACTATCATTTTTATGTTTGTACCAGCTCTCAGGCTTTCAAACTCTTCAATTCTCTGCTCAGCTTGATGAAGGAACTGAACAGCTTTTTTCCAAATTTTCAAACTTCCAGCTGAGAGAAACACCGTCTAGCTCAGCATACTAGAATATATCAGCCACATTTTTTTTTTTGGGCATTTGGAAGAGAGGGAAACAACACACATTAAAACCCTCTGAAATATTTTCCCAGTCCCTGTCATTGGTAATTACATATCAAAGCCAGAGGTAACATGCACAGATGGAGCCCAGTACCACAGAGCTGATCTGAATGTTAAAGGTTCATCTGATAGTTTGGGTCATCACCTGTTTAGGTCTCCATTAATGTAGCCAACTTGGTCCTGGCAGATTAAGCAAGAAAAATTGATATAAAACTGGGTCAGGTATAGCTAGAAAAAGTGGCAGTGCAGTGAATAGTCTGGTCCAACATGGGTGTGATACAGCTAAGATAGAACACCAAGACACAGGGAAAGGCAAAATTCAGGCCCAAGATAGGTGCAGCATGACACACCAGTTTAAATTTAACACTTACCAGGAAGTATAAACCACTTCTCCCCACTAGCATTAATTTTTATCTTCATTTAATTTTCACATGCACATGTAGAAATATATTAATCCTTATGTTGCCCCCTATGACTACCAGAAACACTCTGAATCATTCATAAAACCTCACTACCTAAAGTCTTAAATAAATCCTTTAAATGCGCCATTTCAGAACTTGTATTACTTTCTTAATTAATATTCATACACTGCTTCAATTCAAATCCAAATCTATTATTAGCTTGTCACTAAGGTTAGCAGTTTAATTTATTCATATCTGACCATTCAGTGCTACATAATATAATGTGACATTCTATTGCTAATGCTTTTTTTTTGTCTTTATGGAATAACTGAAATAAAATTATTTTCATACAGTTCAGTGGACCTAAATAAATAATTTTGTCAGCTGATGATCTGCCCTTCCATGTTCCAGATTTTCTTTACTTAGCCTGCAATGAGTGGCCAGAAGCCATTAGATTGTCCATTTACCATGCATCAACAGTTATATTATAAAAATATGATTTTATGAACATGTCCTTGAAAAACTGGCTATCAGAAAACTATTCAAAATTTATTCTAGATAAAATGGTGAAAAATATTTCCAGGTAGTTTTAGAGCTTCTTTTACTGGGAAATGTTACTCAAGTTTTAATAGGATTGACATTTTCTTTTGCAATGCAGTCATTATGAGATACTGTTGTTTGCCTTTTGAAAAAAAAAGTACTAGCTTAGGAATGTTGTCTTTTATTTAAAAATGAAAAAAATGAAGTGCAGCTGAGAAAGTTCAGATAATTGGACAGAGCACCAGAGCTTAAACCAACAATGTATTCAGCATACTGACATGTGATATCTTTTGAAATCTCCATAGAGTCTTTTAGCTTACAGTGAGCCACTACAGAATCCTGGACTGTTGCAGAACAAAGGCTTTGCTCTGTCAGGCATACACTAATTTCCAATAACATAATTATTTTTTCAGTTTTTCCTTTCCACCAGATCAATTAATATTCTACTTGGTAAACATAGAAGTCTTTCTGGACTGCCACCTCAGTCTAGAATCCTGCAAGTAATGCCAGAACCTTATAAAAAAATTCAAATCCATAAAAAATGTGATTTGTGTCTGTCATTACTGCACACTATTCTCATTAAGGCATAATATAACCATCACTGGTAGAAAGAAAATAAAACAAGGGTGGGGAAAATGGGTGCTAAAGAGAGCCACTGGAATAGATAGAACAAAAGACCTCCTGCCACATTGGGTGCCTCTAGTAGCCCTGCTTCTCAGGGCTTTGTGTAGCCAGTGATTAAAACATCTTCTATTCAAGTTTAAGGCTTAAAGTACTAACTTTAAAGTTTTAAAGACCATTTTGTGGCTAGGAAACTTATGGTCTTGCTGCTGTGAGATTTACCCCGTTCCCAAAGTGAAAAGGCCAGCTGGGGGTGGACCTTGTTTCTGAACAGGATGGAACTGAATAAAGTTTAAAAAAATTATTCTATTACCTTTCAATCTCCTAATGTGAACAGCTCTGGTTTTGTCCTTGAATTGAGCCCAGTACAATTTGTTTGATTCTCAAGGGAGACCAAATATCAAACTTTACCAAGTGTTAATCTAAAATTACTGGCCAGCTGAACCAGCAGTGATGTTTAGCAAGCTATGCATTCTGCTGCAACCTGATGACATTACAAAAAAAACAGACTGATAGGACTTGCAGGAAGATTTCTCTCTAACCTCGGCAGGAATATCCTGTAAAGCCTTTAAATTCTTGCTTAGTAAATGAAAAAACTCGTAACCCCATCAAGTCTGCATCTCACTTGACTGAACAATCTCCAAAAAATCATCTCGATCAAGCCGAGACATCAAGAAATTCAGTTAGTCTCCGATGCAATAGGAGGCACAAAGAGATGTCAGACCTAAATTGTGGAAGGAAGACAAGCTAAAGATAGAGACAACACATTTAAACAGCCATGAGAGTAAGAGCTGGAATTAATATTTACTTCCTAGACAAGCAAAAATGCTAAGGGAGACAAGAATCCTGACAAGCTGAAAGGACTTGGTAGCCCTGTGGTGGCCAGCTAACATACAATAGTGTTGTCGCCAGGAAACAAAAGGATTGCATCATGTGTTCTGTGTCTCAACTCCTGTGGCCATGTTTCAAAACATCCACTCCTTTCCTCTCTTCCCCAACAAACAACAAAAACAAACAAAAAAAGAACCTCCTTCTGCTTACCTTACTCTATAGCCAGATCTTGACCCCACCATGATAAATGCAGCAAGCAAAGTTCTGCCAGTCCTGGAGTAGACACCTTTTCATAGCAGTGAAGGAAACCACAGGTACATTGCTCTTCCTTTTGCTGGCTGTGTTTTTCCCACAGGTGGAGTGCCACGGTTTCTAAATCTGACCACTTAACAGCTGATATGCATTCATGTTGCATGAAATATGGTGAGGAGGTTAAATATAAAACAGGATGTAAAAAATTTATATATATAAATAATGAAATGAAAGACAGAAATTCAACCAAAACACAGTCAAGATAAACGTCAAGAGTTTAATGCAGAAAGAAAATATGTATTGCTGAATAAAAACAGCAAACCACATGATTAGCATCTCAAAAATCTTGAAAAATAATCTTAAATATGAATTATGTGCAACAAGACAAGAATGAAAGCATAGCAGAAGATGTACTAAAAATGTATTGTTAGAAAATGCTTTCTTGCAGCAGGGGCAACAAATCTGAGGCATTTCTTTGAGACACTCCCTTATTAGGTTTAATAAGGACAAATTCACAGAAATGTGATGTAGGGATAAGAAGCTCCTGAAGGAAGACGGAGGACTTGATGCACCCCTGATTCATTACACTTACATCAAGCTGGAGTTCATGGTGATCTGGAAAAGGCAATGGTCAGGTGAGACAGAGACTGGACAGATCTCCTAGTTCAATGCTGGGAAAACGGAAGTACCAGCAGAAATTCAGAAGTCACTGACTGTTTAGATACTAGCAGCCAAACAGACATGTGCCTGGAAATGCTATCACATAGGACACTAGCACATCCCATAATGTTTTGTTGTACTGTTTCTTCAAGGAGGTGCCTTATCCTGTACAGACACAGAAGTCAAGTGTACTGAACCAACTACAGGGCAAGTAGTAGGCTTTGCTTCTACCAAGCCATTTCATTATGAATAATTTAACATAATTTTAGGGTTTTTACCATCCCCAAAATTCACTATGAAAATAGTAGCAGGAACATTTCAAGAAAAGAAAAGAAAA